AGTAGTAGTAGTAGTAGTAGTAGTAGTAATAGTAGTAGTAGTAGTAGTAATAATAGAAGCAATAGTAGTAGGATGGAGGCTTCCATGCTCAAATAATTTGTCTGCTCTTAAAATATTTCCACTACCTTTTTTGCAGCCGGTCTCGGAACACCCAGCGGGATGTTGAATACGGAACAGTTAGCAATAGCTGTCAGGCTTAACCGTGCCGACATTGCCAAGGAGAAGATTTTCACGGAGGGGCGCTCTTGGAAGGTACATCCCTCGCATTCTATTTATCCTCTCTTACTCTATTGTTGCATTTTGACACTTTTATTAAATTGCATTTCGTGAATTTATATGAATGTGGCAATACTGTCTTCTATTCTCTGAATACGGCGGTTAAAATTGATCAGCGTAGTGGCAGGGTGCGTCAGCAAGTATTTGGCATCTCCAGTGCCCCCACAATGCGCCGCACTGCAGTGAAGCTAACCAATGACGGGGGCCACATTTGGATGCAATAGGCGACTGCGCAGAATCCCCGCATCTCATACTAACTACCGCGCATGGAGAAGACACATCTCTCACTGTACCCAGCGTCTGCAGCAGATAGATTACCGGCTCGGATGGTTAACCGCTGCCTGGGAGAGGGGAAAGGGAGTGAAGGTTGATTCGTGGAGAATCCGGACCCACAATACTTCAGCAAATTTCTCAATGTAAAAGAATCTAACAAGCCTTTAAACTATCAGAATACGCTAACTGTTGTGACGTGGGAAGCTGCAAGCTGACGGCATTACACTTAATAGACTGTCAAGTTCAATGGCTCTTTCTGTACGAGGCTTCCATAGCACTCACACTCAGTTGGGATCCGAGCCGAAAAATGCTTAGTTTTGTGGAAACCTGGTCCATCGTGCGTGGACCATGTTGTGTACAGCATGCATAGACGGATCGTTAAGGTTTGTCAGCCACTGCGTCCGGACCCACATTCAGTTTTCTTGACGACACCAGACATCGAACCTAGGAGTGAGCGCTAGGAGAGAGTGCTGTAGGTGCGACGCAAGTCTGCTATCACTATAAATGGCTGTAAAGCGCAAGTAAGCACGCTACACGCAGCACACTGTGGTGAGGAAAACAATAGGTCAAACTCATTTTCAAACTGATTGGCTTCAAATTTGAAAGGATTCCTCAGTTGGCACTTCTCATTTGAAGAACTTCGTTTTAAGGAGTGTCCAGCACTCTGAATATAATGACTTTTGGGGCAGACCCATGCAGTCAGAGCAGGTGAACATGATGGCGAAGTAACTGATTCAGTTATACCTGTTCGGGGGTCTCGACTGCCTATAGTGCATAAAATATCTTCCAAATCTATTTCAGTATTTTATGACTACTATGTGACTTCTTCCTCAAACTGTAGGCGAAAATGTATATTTCCTTAAACAGGATGCACACAGTGCGCAGTTTTTAAACCTTGAAGTTTCCTTTAAACGGGATGTACACAGTGCGCAGTTTTTAAACCTTGAATTCGAGTGTAGCAGTCGGTAGTTTAGAAAAATATTCGGCAATTGAGCAACTTTTTTAAAACCGAAAGCTACCCTTTGTTTGAGTACAAAATTTAAAGAAGGTGTAATTTGCTATCAAACATGTACAAGAAATATTTTTTTCGTGCATGTTTTCGATAAAATATATTTGAGTTT